CCGGAAAAAGGGGGGATGCTGCTTCCCCGTCGGGAGTGGAGGATCCCACCTGCTCACAGGAGCGTTGGGCTCCCGTGATAAGGAGATAAAAGGGAGGGAGCCCGGTGGCTGCTGGTGCTGCAGGGGCAAAATGGCAGCAGGCTTCTAAATACTATCAAACAGCTCGGGGAGGGGAAAACAGCAACACACACACACACCACACACCCCCCACTGGCACACTCCTGGCATACACCGCATGGTGGTATCCGTGGTGGAGGAAGAGAAAAAGAAAGGCTATTAGAGCAGAGAAAGGAACCCTGGAAGAGAAGAATATGTGCTGAGATTGTTCCACTCATAATAAGTTTTAGGACTAATTCCAAAACCAGCAATGATTCCTGATCAAATTATTCCCCTGGAAATGCTTCTACACGTTCTTTTTATTAAGATTTCTTTGGCTGCCAGGAATGAAATATGAGACTTACCAGATAGAAAGTCAAGGAAGGCCAGAGCCAATTCCTATAAGCTTTTTTTTTTTTCTTAAAAACAAACAAACAAACAAAAAAAATTATTATTATTATTCTTTTCTTTGGAGGGGTAAATGGGAAAGAGCCGGGAGTGGAGTCTGGAGCCAGGGAAATGGCAAGTTATCTAACCCAGCTCTCATTCAGGTTCTCTGCACTATGAATTCATCCTCCTGGCCTGAACAGCCAGGCGGCTTTCTAGCACATCCCAGACTTTGACTCGAGGAATTTGACTCGCCCTCTTTTGCTCAGGGGCTGAAGCCGGGCTCGCTGCGCTTGTTGGGAGCAATTTTCTCATCGGCGGAGTCAGAGGCCAAATTAGTCACCGCTCCCTTGTTTAGATGCTACAGTTCGTCTTTCTCCCTTGCGACGCCGGAGATGGACTTCCCTGGGCTGGATGGGACAAGGCTCCTCCACTTCCCCAGTTGTAGGGTGTTTCTGACACTCGTGGGCAGTAAATGCTGATTCCGAATGCGGGAGAGCTTCAGCAGAGGCTGCTCATTTATTTCGGGCTGAAGAAGAGCTTACCCTCTCAGGGGAAAAAAAAAAGAGGTGTCTATTAACTGTTTATTAATGCGTCTTAATAACCAAAATTATCTCTAAAGCATAGAGCTCGGGAGTAAGAACCATTAAATCTGTTCATGTTTTAAGAGGGATCAGCCTGAACAGAAATCAATTAGCACCGCAGACAAAACCAAGCCCTTCTTAAGAAAAGTGACACTGCATTTTCAACATACTTCGGTAGTTAATCGTTAGCGCCGATCCTACTTCTTCCTACGTTCAAACGCTTCAGCATGACGAGGTGCAGATACCGGTCAGCTGGCTTAACATGAGGGGTTACCGCTCCTTGGCCGCCCGTGTCACACCTGCTGAGGAAATCCCACTGGCTGGCGCGAGCAGCGGAGCTGGACAGGGGTACATCCTGCTCCGCATCCCACCCGTGCCCCAGAAGGGCTTTCCGGGGGGCTGCGGGCCCACCCGTGGCTGCCTCCTGCCCGCCCCGCCGGGTCTGGGCTTGGGCTCGGGGACCTTCCCGTCGTTCCTTGCCGTGGCCCCCGGCACCGTTTGCTGGGGAGCAGGTGAAAGAGGGACCAGGTGAGTCCCCCTCTGCAGCCCGGCTGAAAGCCTCCAGGCCGGGGTCCCGCCCGGACGGGGCTGGCAGCCGGTTCCCCCCCACCCCAGCATTCCCCGGTTCTGGAAGAGAGGCTTCCCTGGCTGCTGCGGCAGGAGAGCGTGTGTGTTCTTCCACGCCGCTGTACCCTCTCACGACGCCCCCGCCGGCGCAGCAGGCAGTAGCGCGGCCGGCCGTGCAGCACCCACCGACGGGGCGCGATGCTGTGTCAGCGCCCCGGTGCGACTCATGTGTCCGCAATGCTTCTCCGGTGCCTCCCGTTGCCTCCGCGCCGTACACGGCGCCTCCAAAACCACTCCGGGGACAGACCGTGCGGACACGGGAATTGAGGGGGACGTCGGGGAAAGCGGAGGACAGAGCTCTGTGGGTCTTTGCCTTGTTTCACCCGTCCCCAGAAGGGACGGATGGGGGTGTCTAGGGGATGAGTTCAGCATCGTGGGGTCCCGCCTTCGCAGTGCTGTGCCGTGCCGGGGTGCCTACCCCCGGGTACAGCGTTGCAGCAAATAAACCCCCTCTCCTTCCGGGGCTGCATCCAGGAACGGTTTGATTTATTTTCTTCTGGAAAAAAACCAACAAACCCCAAATAAAACCCCAGCTCTGGAAAGGAGGACACGCACCTGTGGGCTCGCTTCCCCTGAGGACCCGTTGGCGATTTTAATAGCTGAAGTCATCGCGGCAGCCTAAAACTGGGGGAGTGGGTCAGGAAAACCCCTCTACGCAGCCTGGCTGAAGATCCTCCGACCTGCTGGGGGTCCCCGCAGACTTGAGCCCTGAATCGCCAGCCTCTCGCTTGCCTACAGGCACCTGGGACCCCAAATCAGGCAACCCCGAAGCTCACCCCATGGCCCGTGTGCTTCCTGCCTGGCAGGGAACCCTCGCCCAGGACGTGGGTCTCCAGCTCCTGGGTGTGCCTCTCCAATGGGGGATTTACAGCTCCTGCTTCCTGTCTGACCTACCTGGCCATGGGGATGTGGAGGTGAGGGATCTGCTCTCACCGGGGAACTTTGCCGGCTGGAGGCTGAGATAGCTAGAGGCCCAAGACAGAAAAGCTTAAAGGCTAAGGAGATTTAAGGCATTCCTAAGGAGGGGTATCCCGTCCCGAGGTTCTGCTCATTCTGCTCCCGTGGGTGCTTTGCTTACCATATTTCATATTAAATACTTGTGGAATAAAATGCAGGCGTTTTTCAGCATGTAGAACTCCAGTGGGAGCCTCAGATCTGGGTGAAACAAGTGATTTCAGGCTCTGACGCCCAGCTTCAAAAAGATGTCTAGGGACAGCTACAGGAGATGGACATTAGACACATCTGGTTTTGGGGATTCAATTTCTTGAATGGTTGGTCTCGGGTGTCACTGGACAATGAGACTTCATTATAATCCTCCTTTAATTGCCCAAGTCTGGCTGGTGGCTGGGCTATGGTCCTTTCTTCACCAGCCTTTCTTGACCTTGTTACTGTAATTACCGAAGAATAAAGGTATGTTTGAAATTTGTTTTTATGGCCTGAATATTCTGCATACAGAATAAATACTAGTTGCTCTTGCATCTCATCAGCTAAATTTGACAATTAGCAAGCCAGCATTCAAATAGTCCAGGAACCGGTATTGCTGGCCACTATTTACCAAAACATGTTGTATAAGCAGTCCATTCATACATATCCACACAAATCAAATTGTATTGTCACATCCAGATTATTTAATTTAAAATAGGTAAGATCAATACTGGTATTTTACTGTATTCAGAACGTAATCTCAGCAATTTCAATAGAAAATCTCCCAAATGTAAAAGTAGTCAGAAAGCAACTGCATCGGTTTTATATTGGTCACAGATGAAAGACACTGGGGAAAATCCAGACCACACTCAGGAGAATGACATCTCTACCATGTATTTCGCTACACCAGGACCAGGCTTTTACGCAAATGTGGTTTTTTGGTTGTTTTTTTTTTTCACCTCGTTGATACTTTGCAATATATTAATTAGTTTCTGGGCTCCAAACTCTTCAGAGGGTCATAAATCCTGATGAAAAACATGCTCCCTCTTGAAGTTGCACCTGGATCACTTACATGAACATTTTTTTAAATGAATGCAAAAGTTCCTTTCTGCTTAATAAAGTGAAAAGTTGAAGACGATAGAGAGTTACATGAAAATTCAGTCCTCCATTTATATCTCATAAATATTCCTGAGCTCTGTTTCTGGCATGAGCTAATGACTAACTTAGCTCCTAGATGACCAGCTAGGACACATTATTCAAGATTACTAACCAAAACAATTGCTGAAGACAGTTCACAGTTTGGGGTTGGTTTTTTTGTTTGCTTGGTTGGCTTTTTTTTCTCATTTATTTGCTCTGAAATCCTCAATAACAATTTTTATTACATCAGATTAGATATATGCAAGGCAAGTTCCCTCTAAACAAGCAGCATATTTTACCTTTAGCTCGTAATGAAGAAAAAGATCTCTCACTTTTGAAGGATTCGGGTATAAGGTGTATAGGACAAGGGGAAATGTTTTTTAATTGAAAGGGAGTAGATTTAGATTAGACATGAGAAAAAAGTTCTTCACTATGAGGGTGGTGAGGCACTGGCGCAGGTTGCCCAGAGAAGCTGTGGCTGCCCCATCCCTGGCAGTGTTCAAGGCCAGGCTGGATGGGGTTTTGAGCAACCTGGTCTAGTGGAAGGTGTCCTTGCCCATGGCAGGGGTTGGAACTGGATGATCTTTAATGTCCATTCCAACCCAAACCATTCTGTGATTCTATGATTGTGAGGATTTAGGGAGAGTGTACCGCTTATGAGGCACCGGTTTTCTAAGTACTGCTTCCGTATGACTTGAAGTTTCTGTCAGTCTCCAAAACCCACACTTAAAAGAAAACATCAGTTCTCTCCTGTGGTATCTTTCTATAAACTGGGGGAAGGGGGAGCTAAGTCACCTACTAAAACACTTGTGCAGAAGTAATAATAACCTCAGAGCAAGTCCGCATTAGCCTATTACTACAATACTCCTGAAAAATACACCTGTCACCTGGGAGCTCACCACAAAGCTCCAATAGAGCTGAATATCTAGCAACAAACTAGTATGACTTGCAGCTGCAAGATGTACCCATATCCCACCTCTCTTAACACCTCCTATTGATATTCCAGCCAACCTCATCCCTTGGACATGCCACCTGTGCTTGCTGTCTCATGGTTTTCCATCCAGCTTTTTCAAGTTCTGGCCTATGTTTGGTTCTCATCTTCAAACTCCCAGGCACCCTTGACACCTGCAGCCATGCTCTTCAGCCTTCATTTCTTTGGGACTTCTTTTTTTTGAGGCCATCTATATTGTCCAGCTCAGGGATGTGACAACTCCCTCATGCAGCTCACTTTTAGCTCAGTCCCAAAGACTTGCCTCTCTCACCCTTTTTTTCCCTTACCTCTCCCTTTGCTGGTGACTTTAAGAGAAGAAGATGGCTTCATCTATCACATTCACTGTGACAGCACAGAGTATGCCTCTTTGTTCAGTGTCTGTTGCTTTCAAAATATCTTACCTTCATGTTTTTTAACATATCACCATCAATTCAGCATGACTCAGAGTAAATCCCTAATTTCTCAGGCTTTGAGTGTTTCTTCCACTCTCCTCTCTTGCTTAATATTCCTACCAACATCTCTAAGCCTTGACCTTCTCTTAGTGTTCTTCCCACCAGTCAAGTCTTACATAATTTAGATTAATGCAAATTCATTTGACAAACACAATTTGTCCATCTTCCCTCTACTCTTTTATATCATTGCATGGGTCTCCTGCTATGCTTTCCTCTTCTGCACCTCTTTTCTCCATGCAGTTGTTTCAACACAACTGTTAAGCTAGCATTGACAACTGCATGTCTTACCCCATCTTATTCCTGAACTATGGTGTTGCTGTATGTACTTCTGACTTTCTTGTGCTTTTGAGACCATCCTCATGGCCTGTTGATTCAGCTTCTCTCCCAGGCATCTCCAGATTTGGCCAGTTCTGCGTGTAAGGAGGTTAGGTGTGTAGTGTACTCCTCCTATTCTTACCTTAAAGTTGACGTCTGCAATAGCACCAGTGAAACTCTCAACAAAATCAAGGCAGTTGGTGGGCTGGATGGCTGCTTATTCTGATGTGAGTGACGATTCTAGCTTTTCCTCATCCTGTTTCCATGTTGGATTATCAGTTTTCTGCTATCATATACTAGGCTTGTTCTCTCTCCAGTCCCAGAAAGGTATCTCAGGCTGCATGCACAGCAGAGATGGCTGAAAAGCAGTTTTCATTTGTCAGGACTTAAACATGCCCTCACACATGCACAGAATTTATTTTATATATAACTTTCATTTCAGTAAAAAATGTTTTTCACAGCCTGGACACTTTTAGAGAAAGAAATTCCTATTAGAACACCAAAATACAACATTTCCAAATAAAATGCATGCCTGTGTGCTGCAGTTGTCGAAGTAACCCTTGTTCTTTACTGTCATCAGGCGACTGTGGAAGCTCTCTGAACATGTAAGGCATTTCCAGCACCCAGGCTGGCCCAGGACTATGACATTGCCCTAAGACATCACCCTAGAGCTTGGGATCTGAATTCCAGCCTTGCAGCAGGCAGTGGGGAAGCTCATAAAGACCATTTTTAGGAAGGCTGGGTTCAGGGCAATGTTTGCAGGGCTTAATTAAAGGGAAGGTCCACCAGAAATGTCTTCCAGGATTCCACACTGAGGACAAGTTTTTTCCAGGACATCACATAAGTTCTGTGCCACATCTGTGAGACAAATGTTCATTTTTGTATGAAGATACAATTTGAAACATGCTTGTATTGTATTTGGACAAGTGCACCACAAACGAGGTTCTGAGATGCAGTGTGGCCACAGACCATGAAATGTCCATTCCCATGTCCAAGGGTAAAAGGTGACAACTCCTTCCCAACTTAAGTCAAGATTATTTTGAGTGGTTTCAAGGAATTCTGACCATGGACCTAAGTGCCAGATCAAGTCCAAGATTATTCTGCATCCAACTGTTTGGATATAAAAGCTGGATCAAGCACAGGCATTAGGCAAACTCAAAAAAGCAGTGAGACAGAATCAGTAAGATTCTTCTGATGGACCAGTACAAGAGAGAAATAGATCCAGCTCTGATCTGAATGAGAGGCCGTGTAATCACACAACTGTGATCCTATCACAGTTTGGGAATATGTACAGTGTCGATGGATGCTGGAGGGGAAGGGAAGATAAAGCTCCCTTCAACCCTTTCAGAAATCCACACTGATATATGCAAATATTCCATTGCTTTGACACTGCTGTTTTTTACTTGCTCCCCCTGATTTATCACAATTTACACTAGGTTGTTGCAAAATATACCCATTTTCTACCTGTAGATTTTTAAGAAATCCAAATGAAGACTTTCTCAATGGTAAAGGTGACAGTAGTGAGCTCTTATTGTCATGCCGTTACTCAAAAGAGCCACATTCTAGTGGAAGACAGAGACCTCCAAGGCAATACATGCACCATATATGAAATTTGGACATAAATATGTAAATAGTTACATATGCAAATTGTTTTCATTAATATGTTGGTGTAAATAACAATATCCAACTTGTATATTAATCTCATGGATATTTCTAGGTGATGTTTGAATATAACAGTGATACAAAACAAAATACAATGGCATTGACATCACCTAAATATTGTGTTTGAGGACTGAGCAAAATGTGTTATTTTTACTTTGTATTCTTTACTTGTATTCATTTACTTGTCATTACTTGTGTCCCCTTATTCATACTGCTATTATTTCTAGCAATCACAATCATAATTGGTATACAAGGAGGCTCAGGTTAGATATAAAGAAGTTCTTTACTGTGAGCGTGGTGAGGCCCTGGAGCAGGTTGCCCAGAG